CATCAACCCGTAACCTGAACCCGGGGTTCTGGCACCTGACCTGTAATCCGTTTCTCCATCAGCATGTAATCAGTCTGACTGAATCGAATTGAATCGTTGAACTGAAACCTAACCGGTACCAAATCGCACGTTTACTGGACCTTTGACCGGTTCGATTCAGGTAAAAAAAATTTTTTTTTAGATTTTTTTAAAATATTATTTTTGTTATTTAATTATTATTCTTAATATTTATGCATGTAAAAATTGTTTAAATTTATCAAAATAAAATTTTATTGTTTTATAATATTAAATATAAAAAAATAAATAGTAAAATATATGATAAAAGTTTTTTATAATTTTATTAACTTTAAAATAAATCTTTTAAAATAACAAAGACTAATAAAAAATGAAAATAATAAAGACTAATAAAAAATTTAGGAAAATAAAATTTTTATCTGATTATGAGATTCAAAGATATTTCGAGTAGTGATGCCTACGAAATCTCTATGTAAGAAGATTTTTTTTAAAATACTACCAGTGTATTGGAGTATTTATAAAATTTTTTTCAATACAATAAAAATTTTCTTTTTTTAAAGTAATAAATAAAAATTGATTAATATATTAAAAATATAAGTAATAAAAATGAGAAGAAAAGAAATTTTATCTGATGATGAGATTCTAAAAGTATTTCGAGTATAGATGCTTTAAGAAATCTTTAGGTGAGAAGATTTTTTATAAAATAGTACTGGTGTATCGGAATATTTATAGAAAATCTTCAATATAATTAAATTCATTTTTCTTCAAAATTTCAATTAAAAATAAATATTAATAAAATAATTAATAAATTTTCTAACGAATGAGAATAAAATGTGTGCATCAATATGGTAACATTTTGCATTGTATGCATGATATTTTTTACGAAAAGTAAATTTAAGCCTCCGAGATGGGATTCTAAGGTATTCCGAGAAACGATGCTTAAGAAATCTCTAGGTGAGAAAAAGTTATTCTAATGTTACCAACGTACTAGAACATTTTAAGAATTATTTCAAAAAAAAGTTTTAATTTATTTTTCTCGAGAATAAAATTTTTTTTTCTAATAAATAAAAAATCAAGGAAATTATTTCGAACATCGAAAATTGGACTATTTTTATCAAAATCAAAGGATAACACGTTGTTAATTGGTACCATTTTTAATGGGCACTGTAGGGGTGCTAATGCTTCCCCACGCGTAATCGATTCCCGAACCCAGATTGTTTTCACAGACCGTAAATTATCTTTTTAATAAATTTTAATTAATTTTAAAACTTTATTAAAATGATATGTTTTAGTAGATGGTCAATCGTACCTAGCCAAAAAAAAGATTGGTGGCGACTCCATTATTTTCTATTTCGTTTCCAAAATTCGTCTGGCAAACACAAAATAATTATGACAGCTTGGCAACTTCACTGGGGATCTACCATTTGTTTTCGAGAGTTAGGCCATAATTAACTACTTGTTATCCTCAAATTTTGATTTTAACAGTTTTAATCAATTTCAATAAAAAAGGGTAAAAAAAAAATGAAACAAATCGAAAATAAAAAGCAAAAAAAATTCACACACATTTCTTTTACTATGCCTCTTATGTTTTATTTTTTTGTATATATTACTCTCAATAAATTAGGATATATTTGCACACAATGGCACGATGCATCTCATGCATGAGCTTTATACCCGGGCTCTGTCCTTTATAAGAGAAAATAAAGTACATATGCTCTCGTAAGGTGATAACTTTCGTAATGGCAAGCGAAACACTTTCACTCGAATTGAATCATTTTCGTTCGTAGCCTGTAATGGGTGAGGATCGAGGTGCCTTACTAGTCAAATATGAACGATAGTGAGGAACAATTTGGGAACTTTTAGACATTATCAATCCAAATCCAACATATAATAAGCATAGGAAACCAGCCTTTTGTAGAGCCTTGTTTACCTTATTGTAAGAGAAATACCTAAGAATAAAAGTTATGCGTAATACAAAATAAAACAAAACAAAAAAATCTTAAAACATAAAAAAAAAATACTAAAAAATAAAAAATATTTTTTTTTCAGACCACACTAACTCAATTTTGTTTCATTTTTTTTGCATTAATCATATCATATAGTTCTGCATTGAGATATTTACTCTAAGACATATTTCTTCTAAGAAGTTTTCATGGATCCTATAGAGCTACAAATTTGCTCATCCTCAGTCAGTGTGCCATGTGAGTTATCTAATGAAGTACATGTTTAGTCGAAAGAAGTTTAATAAAAGAATAAAGATTATTTGTCTACTGGTTATGTGTCTGAATTATTTGAGAAAGTGCATTTAGATCTTACACAAAATGATTTAAAAGAATTAGCTACTGTCTGGGGTCAGTTAAGTGAAGAAAGAAAAGAAAGCTTTTGTAAAAAGTATAGGCAGATTACATCCCTCATTTCAGTAGTGATCAATGAACAGTTGGTCAAGGTAGCTATATAGTTTTAGGATCCATCCTATAGATGCTTCACTTTTAATCAGGAAGATTTGGTGCCAACTATCGAAGAATATTCGATTTTGCTTGGGATATAACTACAGTGTCTAAATAAAGTATTCAATCGAAAGCCAAAATCATGTTATCGTAAAAAATTAGCCAAGCTTATGGGGCTTAAAGTAGAAACCATTAATTCTTTTGTGAAGCCTAAAGGTGAATATCTTAGCATTCATTAGGATTTTCTTCAAAACTTCATTCAGGAGCATTTAAATGATGATCAAGGTATGACTGTGTTTGCTCTAACATTGTATGGCATGATAATCTTTTTGAAAATTTTGAGTTACATTGAGATAACTGTGATAATTTTTTTCGAGCAAATTGAAACCCAAGTAATTACTCTCGCTCCAGCAGTCCTAGTCGAAACCATCAAGTCATTGAATTT